CCTTGTTGAATTCACTAACATTTTCGCCCGTGAGGAACGAATCTGAAAAAAAAAGAATAATTAAATACAAAAAAAGAATTGCTAAAACAGATCTTCCGAAATCTCAACTATAGCTGGATTGCCTCCCGTATGGGACTCCAGTACCTTCCGGCCCTGCCGGCTAACTAACACCAAACCTCTTCAGTTTTACTTGGAAGTGTGTATGTCTGATTCGAGTGAGGTGACATTTAGTGACACATTAAATAAGTCAAGTCTTAATTATCATTAGCAAAGGATATTAATTTATGCATTTTGTTAGCGGTTGTTTTGTATTTATATTTGGGTAGTTAGAGCAACGATCGTGGGTTTCTCTGCCATGCTCTTTCCCCACAGGAGCTCTAGGTGAGCCTGGCACTCTCATTTTATGTTAAATGGTTGTTAATGTTTTTGTTGTTCTTTCTATTTGTCACATGTTTAATTTGAAGACTGTTGTACATAAATAATAAAGTTAGGTGTATTTACTCTGCTTTTGTTTTATAAAATTAAACCATACATCCCCTCAAAAAAAGGTAGTAGCCAGCGCCTTCCGGTTAATAAAAAAATAGATACACAAAACGTAGGTATTCTTTATGACGATCACATATTTGTGGCCACAATTACGTTTGTTTATTTTTTTATCGAACCTAGGGCTGTTATACTACAATTTTAACACTGTATCTCGAGGACGAAGTTTTAAAACATACAGTTTCATATGAACTTTTTTTATTTTTGGGTTCTATCGTCTATTAAACACTATTAAAGCCCGAGACACCCTGTATATTGCTGGAATCGTAATTAAAAATTTTATCTGGACCAATTAAAATATGCGAGGTTACTCACACATAGGTACCACTGAAATTAATATCCTGTGAAATCGGAAATTGAACAAGTGAATGACGACTATCGACCAGTTTATAATATGACCCTATATGTTTTTCTGCATAAAAAATACAATATTTCCCATACATTTTTTTAATCGATAATTATTTTTCTGAGTGCATATTCTGATTCCGCTGAACTTTTCATATTCGTCAACATTTTGTTCCATTCTAATATAGTAAATTGCAATATCAGTACAGGGTGTTCCACATAAGAGGGATTCGTCTGTAACTCTGTAACTATAAAATTTATAAAAAAACGGTTTTAATAAAAGTTGTCTGGAATCATGTGGGCCATGTAAAGACAATATTTTTAGCTTTACAGGGTGTTCCATTTCACGTGGGCGCTACATAACTTTGTTATTTTAAATGGAATAACGTGTATATTATTCAATTTTTGAATTCCTTGGTTAATATTAGGTAGAGTTTATTAAATGTACATGGTGTTTAAAACTTACCGTTTTCGAGATAATCAGTTGTTTTTGAAAAAAAATCACGATGTCAGCTCTCTAAATGAGGCTAGATAGCCTCTAAACCGTAAGAGTTAGAAACCTGCAGTTTTCACAGTTCGTTTTAGCATAAATTACTCTTTCTTGTCAGTTGTGAGCAAAAATGTACGTTATTCAGACTCGGAAATACTGAGACCTACATTTAATAATCTTACGAGTTGAAAAACTTTGTTTTTTTCAAATGGAGTTTCAATATTAATTGTCATGGATGAATGCAAAATTGAATGCCCTTTCGACTGATATAAGGTTGTCTTATCTTCAACAGTTTTCTAGAAAAAAAAAAAATAAAAAAGTAGGTATGTAACAGCGTCAAGAAGACCTTGCAATTGTATTAGTAGAACGTCGATACCTATGATTTTACAAAAGCACAGCACAGCACAGCACATCCTTATCGCATCCAATTACACCAAGAGTTACTAAAAGTAGACTTTCAGGCGGAGACTGGAGTTTTGTCAGTGGGCACTTGGGATGTTAAATCAAGATGATGATTTTTTTTAAACGGGTCCTGTTCTCCGATGAGGCTATTTTTCATAAAAATGGTTTCGTTAATAGTCATAACTGCCATTTGCATGACACAGTAAATCCTCACTAATTCCGGACAACTCATAGCCAACGATGGTCTTTGAACGCGTGGGGAGCAATTTTAGGAACCCATGTCATTAAACCATTCTTTTTTGACCAGCATCTAACTGGAGCAGTTTATTTAAACTTTTTAACAAACACTCTAGAAGATTTGCTAGGCGACATTTCTTTAGCTACACTTCGAAGAATGTAGATGCAACATGATGGTGCTGCACCTCACAATACTTCTGCGGTTCGTCAGTTTTTACACGAAACTTGTCCCAACATATGGATTGGGCGCGGGGGACCAGTGAGTTGGCCTTCAAGGTGGCCAGATATGACAAGTTACGACTTCTTTTTATGGGGATTTATAAAAAGCAAAGTTTACGTTACACCACCAACTACCGCGGAAGATATGCGGCAGCGCATTACAGTAGCATTTCAAGAAATTACGCCAGATATGCTGACCAATGTTGATCAGTCTTTTAAAAACCGAATTCGTTTGTGTATTAATCAAAATGGAGGATACTTCGAGCAAATGATGTAAATCGGCGGTCTAAGTTTTCTTCTCCTTGTTCTGTTCCGAGTTTCAGTTTGTTTCGTTTTGCGTTTTGTTTTAGTTGTTGTTAATGGTTTACTTTTCTTTGTCAAACTACTTTTTGAACAAGCCAATATGTAAATATTGACATTGTTAGTCCCAGGCCTGATAAAATGTGAGAGAAAAGTGGTTTTACAAGGCCTTCTTGACGCTATTCCTTAACTACTTTTTCGGACTTTAAAAAAGAACTTGATTTTTCGGGAAAACTTTTAGAGATAAGAAAGTACACCCTTATATCAGTCGAAAGGGCATTCAATTTTGCATTCATCTATGACAATTAATATGGGTCATTCCATTTGTAAAAGAAAGTTTTTCAACTCGTAAGATTATTAAATGTAGGTCTCAGTATTTCCGAGTTTGAATAACGTACACGTTTTGCCTATAGATGACAAGATAGAGTAATTCATGCCAAAACGAACTGTGAAAATTGCAGGTTTCTAAATCTTATGGTTTAGACGCTATCTAGCCTCATTTAGGAAGCTAACATCGTATTTTTTTTAAATGTCATTTTAATGTACATTTAATAAACTCCACCTAATATTAACCAAGGAATTCAAATATGCAATAATATACAGGGTGTTCCATTTAAAATAACAGCATTATGTAGCGCCTACGCGAAATGGAACACCCTGTAAAGCTAAAAATATTTTCGTTACATAGCCCACATGAATCCAGGCAACTTTTATTAAAACCATTTTTTATAAATTTTATAGTTGCAGAGTTACAGAAGAATTCCTCTTAGGTGGGACACTCTGTATAGTAAATTGTATCACTCTGTACGTTCAGTTAAATGACAAATAGTTCCGCAAGCATTAGCATTTTTGATTGATGCTTTTAGTTTTTTGTAACTTCATTTGTATTTTTTGAATAGCCTTGCAACTATAAATGTAAGAAGCTGTAAATTCTCAGGTTGTACATATAAATTGACGGGTTAGAATTTTTCTGGAGCTTCTAGATTTCTGTTGTCGATAGTCAACTTTTTTTTTATGGATGCTCTATCCGATTTTCATATTTTTGAATGGCTCTCTTATTTTCTTTACGGAGGTGTACAGCTCTGTTGGTATACTTAAAAACTTTTAGTAGAATGTCAAAAACTAATTTTTGCACAGTTGGTCATGGCCGGTATTATAAACAAAAAACAAATAATAATAATAGCAGCAGCCGACCCATAAATTAATGAAATATCTCAAAAATTTTAAGTTTTTATAGTTATAAAACTTACAAATTCATCTGCCAATTTGACAAAGAAATTACTGATAAAAAATGTGGCAAGGGTTATCAGATATTTCCCAGATTTGTCAAAATTTATTTCATATACATATGTTTATCAATGTTTACCACATGTTTACTATACTATCACATTCCATTTGCTATCTCGTGTACCATAAAATATTAATATACTTCTCTGTAGTATGTACATGGAGGATAAGCTTTTTATAATTAAATGTTATCGGTCGACAGTAGACCTCATGATAAAAAAATGGTCGTATGAAGCTTCGCTTTTGAGTTACAGAGATTTGAAATTAAAAAAAAAATACATCTATTTAAATATGCGAAATGAGGTATATTAATAAAACTTGAGCTGATGGATTGTTTAATTATGGGCTGAAATTCACTGTATTTATTTACAAATTTACTTGGGGATATTACCATTAATTAATATTTTGTAAAGGCGTTGAATTTCAGTTGGTGTTTTTTCAAGGAAAAAGGTATCTATAATTTTATTTGAAAAACATTTTTCAGTTTCCCCAGAAAAATTGTAAAAATTTGTACAAAAAATCATTGGTTTCTAATTTTCTGACAATTAGTAACTCCTAAAAAGTTTAAATTACTCGCCCCAATATTTTTTTTCAATTTTTGTGGATATTCATTGTATTTTTAACAAAAAAACCCTATAATTTTTTATGTGATTTGGAGTTATTTTCGATGTACATATGCAATTATGTCTTAGAAAGGCTTATTGTAAATATTAAAAAATAGTAACTTGAAATTGGCAAATTTTTTAGAATAAAATGGAAGATTTTCGTAAAAAAATACCAAATGCACTCTAGGGTTTGTTCTTAGTGATAGTGCCCCCTCACAACAATATCTCTTCCGCTGCTTGACAGATTTGTGTACCAATTTCATGAATTTTTACCCATAATCAGTTAAATCATAACCCAAGCTATAGGTTTTTTAAACTTCAATACTCTGTTTCTCGAAAACGATGCATTTTACAACCTACTGATCTTTTTTTTTTTTCTAGAATCACATTTTCTACCTACTGATAAAGTTACGTTGTATAAAAAAAATCAAAACGTACATAAAAGTTCAATTTATTGACTAATTACAAAGATAAAAGTATTTTGTCACTTATACGTATCACCAGCAACGTCATGTTTCACATTTCCACCAATCCTACGTCGATAAAGCAGGAACCCACTATTCCGCCTCGTTCTACACAGAATTATCACAAGGTCCTCCTGTAAGTATCCTCAGTCCACGCTTCACCTTCGTGGCACAGTTAAAAAGGCATTTGTTTAAATAAGTTTCACCATCCGATGCGCATATTGGCATGTACGTCCTCGGACAGGGACATCTAGAACGAGCTTCGCCTGGTTCGACCGTGGAACAGACCACCAAGAGCACACAAACTGTCAAAATTGCTAACTTCATGTCTGCTTTCGCACTAGCGTTTACAGATACTAATCTGCTTGTTCAGATAAAAAGTACATTTTATACGTTTTGATAAAGAGAATTAACAGGAATCCTATGTATCATGGGTTTATTAGGCGCGAATTACTTTTATTGAACTGATAAGAGCGAGAAATTTTGATGATAAGCCGATAGCGATAAATTATAGGATGATGCGGTGTTAATAATCGGGATTTTTTCATTCACATCATCCAGTTCCAAGTAGAGATCACATTTGTTTATCATGTTCGTATTTTACACGTTTGTGACTAGAAAAGGATCCGTTTACTGATTTACATGTTCATAAGAACTTGTCCTGCGCTTTTTTTGGATACCCTGTATGGTTTTGACGTAAATTATTCCTTTTGAAGGTGTTAATTTAATTTAAATTATTCTAAATAAAAAAAAATATGACATAATTCTGAAAAATAAACTTTTTATTCACTTTTTTACAATGACAAAATTTATACTTTACAACCTATGTACAATACCACACCCGTGGTCGTCATGGCGCGTCCATCGTATGATTTTTAGAAATTAATATTATTCAATTCCGGATTACTGTTGAGCACGACGTTATCGCAGGTACCAGCTCTGACCACAGTCAGGGCCCGGTGGACCTTGTGAGCACATTCGAACAGGCACTGATTCGAGTAGGTCTCCCCATCGGAGGCACACACGGGATCGTAATTTCTCGGACACATACAGCCTCGGGTGTCGGAGGTCTCAGCAGCACAAGTTGCCACCAAGATGAAAAAAACTGCCACAATCGCTAACTTCATTTTTTTCTGTTTCAACAAATCTGCTTCCAGATATCTACTTGTTTGATATTGTGATATAATTTGCTTTTTATATGTGAAGATAAACAGAGATTATAAAGATTTGATATATCGTAGACGACTCGACAATTGATCGATATAAGTGACAAGCATATAGTTTCGGTGATAAGATATGTAATGGATGGTACTAGAAAATTTATAGCGATTAAATGTGATTAGAACGAATAAATAAAATAGCATTCGTTTCCTGAGATAGCATTGAAAGATTTAACATGCCGTTGCTGTGACAACCACATCATCTTTCTTTGTATCGTTTCAACGACGATGAACATGTTTAAAAATATTTTTTTATTTGTAGAATATTTGTTTGCGAAACAACATCAAGGATATTTCCTATCTACAATATGTTTTACTTGCTATCGCTAATCTGTTATACAAATAGAAATTGACTCACGATTACCCACTAAATATTGGCATCTGCTGCACTCGCGATATAATGCAAGCTATAATGTGTACCTCCGATTTTATTTGTGTGTATCCACAATCTATCCACTCTGCCAAAACCTCGAATATAATTTTTGTTTATAACAATCTTTGCCACAAAATACACAGTAACTTAATAAATATATAAAATATACCTCGTAGAGATATAATTATAAAGACTTAATTGTCTAATAGAGACAGGTTATGGCTTTATAGATATGCACCATTTACAGATAGAGTTATAGAGACGCGTGTTATAGCAACAGCCTTATTGCTATGGGTTGTAGCTCTATATAGATACGCCATATTTTCTAGAAATGTATTTTACCTTATACCTTATAGAGATGTAATTATAGACTTAATTGCCATATACAGACGGGTTATGGCTTTATAGAGATGCACCATTTGCAGTCAGTTCTAGAGGCACCTGTTATAACAATAGTCTTATGAGAGATGCACCATTTGCAGACACAGTTATAGAGACACTTGTTATAGCAACATCCTTATAGAGACATCATTGCCTTATAGATGTGGGATATGGCTTTATATAGATACTACAAATTTTATAGAAATAAGATACAGATACGAATATACCTATTACAGCGCACAGCTTTATAGAGACATCATTGCCTTATAGAGACAGGTTATGATTTTATAGAGATGCATCGTATTTTATGAAAATATATTGTACCTTGTGCAGATGCAGATTCAGTTATGGAGACGTCTATTACAGCCCACAGCTTTATAGAGACATCACGCCTTATAGAGACGGGTTATGACTATAAAAATATATTACACCTTTTGCAGATACAGTTATATTATAGCGCACAACATTAAAGAGATAAGTTACGCTTTATAGAGACAAAATACACTATATTTTATAGAGGTATATTATACACACATATTACAGAGATGTTATGTATATTTCCTTGCCGGTAACTTCACAGTTCGGGAGCTGGTACCGCTTGTCCGCTCCTAGCCAGTTGCTCGCAGGTACCGCGTCCCAAGAGGTTCAGATTCCGGGCCTTCTTCTGCTGGTGTTTGAACGAGCAGTCGTTGGCGTAGGTCCTGCCGTCGGAAGCGCAAACGGGGCTGTACTCCATGGTGCAGATGCCTTCTGGGTAGTCTCCGTCGGCCAAACAGACTCCTAATAACAAAAGAGTCAAGCTCAGTGCTAGCGCTAACTTCATGTTGGTGTTTTGAGGGATTTTAAGATACTGAATTTCGCTAGAACGAGGCGTGTTGTTATAGGAATCATTCTAATCAACCGGGTAACAACACGTACTTGAAAGTGTCGCTATCAGGGATCAATGATTTTGCATATTTGAGCCTTTCTGCGTTTATCTTTGACAACGTGTAAGTAGAGATCAGCAGAAATGATTAATATATGACTAGACGTCACAATATATGACTAGACGTCACAACACTGCTAGTATTTATTATTGAAATACTTAAGAAGATTTAAAAATATGTCTAATTAGTTGCTAAATGTTATCAGTACAGATTAATTGATTTAAATCTAGCCTGACGTGTGCCTTTGGTTTTTATATAAAAAAAGTTGGTCGATGTATAACAAAATAAAATTTAATATGCTTTTTTCTGTGTTATAATTTACATTGATTTATATTGAATTATTCTTTAACCAACAGACAACAAAAAGTGACGGTTAAAAATTTATACGAAATTTACACTTCAGAGAACTCCACCCAATGGTAATTTAGCAAATTTTCTCATTGGTAATTCATTAAAACAAAGATTTGGTAGAATGTACTTGTAGCAGTGTAAATCTCGGTATAAATATTTTAAAATATGGTTTAAATGAATAGGCAATTTGCATATATATATGTTTTTTAAAATATCTAGGAATAATCTATAACCTTAGAAAATTGCTAAAGGTTGCCGCGCAAAATAAATGTTTTAAATGGGTGTTTGCTGTCGCGACGTCATTTAGTGCGATCGATAATTAAGAAAACGAATGAAATGAATAGGACGACCCGTTAGCGTAGTAAGTAACAAGAGCCTAGAAACAGGTAAATTCACTTTATTTCTATGCTCTGCGCACGCGCCTTCTTTAGATTAGGATGTATGAACTTAAAACTAGAAACATATCAGTTTGTTCAGCAAAAGTGTAAATTACAGCCATTGTTTCTTTGTTATGTGGCACCTACGTACTAGACATATCTAATTATCTATAAACTGATTTTAAAATATTTAATGTATAAAAATGCCAATTTTACTCGAAATCCATAAACGACCACAAAATTTTGTAAGAGGCAAAAAATCTCCTAAAATAGTGCTTATTTTTACATTATTATAGAAATTCCTCGATGTAAAAAAAGTCATACTCAAAGATTCTCACCCTATCTGAGCCCGAAAGTATTTAATACATTACCAAAAAGAATAAAACATATTTCTAAGGTGTCAGTTTTAAAAATAGAACTAAAGTCACTTATATTGGAAAACTATGCTTTAATAGAACCATAGAATAGAATTTTTGGTTACTGCTGGTTTAAAAAGCACACAGATGTATCCTTCCTATGTTTAGTGTATAAAAGTATTTAAAATAGGTAATTCTTTTGATTATTTTTAGTGGAATAATCACACAACACAAGTTTTACTGAGGTGTGATTTATTCTATGTATAATTGGTCTTTTCTTTTTATACTGAATTGAATTTGTACTTGTATACCTGAATAAATTTACTTACTTTACTATTTTACTCTTAAAAATATAAACTCTGGCGTCACTGGCGTGCACACAAAAAAGTTACGAGATAGCCAGTGGCGCACAAGCACTAGAAAGACAACATCCTGTATATTCTATATATTCTCATCAAATTCTACATTTACCTTGCACTTATATAAAAAAGTTTGTGTACCAAAGTTGAAGTTTCTAAGAAAAATATTTTTCAAATTAATTGAAAAAAACTAGGTTATCTGTTCTATATTTAGAAGGCTATATCTCAGTAGGTCTGCACTTTTATATATAGGTAAGTTAGGATAAATAGCCTTATTTTCATTCAAGGAACCTACGGTTAAGCATTGCCCATACATTTCAGGTACACCCTCTATACGGGTGTACTGGTACTTGATACAAAAAAGTCAAGTACACATAGATGAGGTCAAAATAATATCAGTTCTTCATTTACATTTTTTTCATATAGGCCTTCGTTAACAAGTTACGGGTCCTCAAAAATGAAAATTAAAAAGTTATTTTTATTTAGTCTGTAAACTGTTAACTTCAGCGTGGTGCAAATTTGGTGATCGATAATACATGTATACAGTTTGTTTTTGACGTTGTAAGTGAAACTTCGTTATGCCCAGAACGCCAGGGACGGACTATGCCCAATGGTTAACAACCCAGAATTTTTGCATAGATGACGATCGCAATCTGCCTGTATATAAAATAAATTCCCTGAAGAATTTTCCAACGATAATACCCTCTTGGTTCAACTCGGTAAAATTAACAGTTTAGGAAATATTTGTGATTTTATGTCACAGTGCACATCGAGCAGTGCCTCTACCATATTTTGTTTTAATTTTTAATTGGACATCATTACTATGTTAGAACCGTAAATATTTTTAAAATAAGGCACTAGAACATCTTACTGCCTACTAATGTAATTTTCACTAACAAAATTTGACAAACACACTTTACACAACACAAAATAGAAAAAAACCAAGAATAGGTTAAAATTTAAAAAATTATTCAAAAGAAAGAATACTATCTAAAAATTTTTCAGTATGGGCACCTTCCACCTCCACATGCATCCTAAATCCAATTCCAAATATCGATGTCCATTCAGACATTCCTCAAAAACGTATGAACCTATTAAATTATTACCCACTATTCCTGCCCACACATTAATAGTGGGTAATATTAGTGAAAATTCCCTTAAATGGTAATAGTATAGTCTTTCCGATATCAATTGAAGAACCAAGAGGATGACAGTATGTACTAGGTTTGGTTGCTGACGCAGCAACTCGGCATTGAAATATTTGAAAAACTTGTTCCCATATTTATTTAGCCATACCCATATACAGGTCTGGTCGAACTAAACGTGGAGGTGGTAAAAATGTATACGCTCAGTTGAAGAATGCGACCGCGGGTAAACGAATCACAAATACAGCTGCATTGGGCCACTGGGCAATACATTTCAGCTGTTGACAGGTGGTTGACAAATTGCCCAGCAGTGCAGTGCAGCAATGCGGAATTTGGTGTGATTCAGGTAATTTTAATTATTATAGGCACCTTCTATTAATCATAGATATTACAATTGCGAAAGGGAGAAATAATATTATTACAACATGGCATTTTGGAGACTTTTTGAAACGGAACAAAACGAAATTTACCATTAAAATAATAAAATTGAGGACATAAATAATTAAAATATGTTGTTGGTCAAATGAACATATAATAGAAATTTTCTGCACATTATATACTTATTATAATTTTTTACCTTTATCAGAAAACTTTTTTAGGGACGCCTATGAAACATTAAATTTTATTGCCAGGCGTTTTTTTGACATGTTCAATTGACTTCGGAAAGACTATACCTACTGCTACATTTCCAACATTTTTGCAAATAAAACATGTATAAATTTATATCAAATAATTTTACCAATTTCAAAATAATTACGTTTAAAGTCGATTTCTTACTATGCAGACACTTCAATCTTCTCAACTTAAATTTGGATGTATTTACAGTTGAAATTATGAGTGTACAAACAGTGTGGGAATCGACAACAACACGCCGATTCCATTTCTAGCTGTCGCATCACCAACCGTTTCGAAAATAGTAGGCCTAGGCCGTCCACTCGAAATATACCGATATTTCACCGCGACCAAACTATTATAACATCAAAAAACGACCGAAAAAACCTCGCGGATTCCTACGCATCGCCCGATCCCTCGTTTTTTATATGGTTTATTAATTTTAAATATAGAAGTTTACATATCGGAAATATCCGTTCGTCCCACGCTCTCGAGCGCCGCGATATGCCGGGATAAAAATGTACATCTCGTAGTAGGATTAATACTATTTAGCTAATTTATTAGTCGTAAACGTTGCGGATTATTTATTTCGCGCCCGTGCGTTAAATTAGCACTCCCTGTTAATGCCAGCCGGGAAACGTCATCGGCTGGTGGGGGAGTGCATTTGCACCGTTTTTATATACACCGACACAAGATTAATTTCTCTATAAATCCATTCAGACAAAACAGATTCCTAACTATGCAAGTCCTATCTGTATTACTTTAAAATGCGGCCAGACGCCGATTTAAATGAGCACAAGTACCGAATGACGTTATTTCGACGTCATTAAATGGCTAATTAAATCCTATTCTTCTAATAACATCCGACAGGACGTCAGTTGATTATAGCTGCAATTACAAGAACTTTATACGGAGTTACTAGGATCCTAATCACGCTTGGTACAGCCACGTGACGTCTATTAGACCTCTATTATTAGGTATATCAGAGACGTCAATCAGACGACATTTTATTACTAAAAATTTCACCGGTCAACACGATTTTTGTTTCTCCTACGCCAAAAATAAGTTTTTAACAATATTTATAACAATTTTTTTTTGATTAAAGTTTGCTTTTGTAGAAACTACAGCAATTTTTCAATTTTCCGGCAAAAAAATTACTGATTTATGTATTTTTTCACATTTTGACTTTAAATTATGATTAGAAAAGATTTCGTTGGATATAAGAGTCTTTTATTCAAAATTTGTGAAAAACAATAACATAATAATGTAATATAACAAGAAATTTATGTCTAAAAGTGAATATTTTTTGTATTTTTTCTATACTCGGATGAGCCCTCTCGTATTAAACCCCAAATGTAATCTCCCATCATATTCTCGTTGTACTGCCCTTGATATCGCCGTTCAAAGTCCATCACATCTTGGTGAAAACGTTCTCCTTGTTCCTCGGAGTAGGCCCCCATGTTGTCTTTAAATTAAAATAGGCTTCATAGGCTTCGCAAAGTTTCAAATTTGTTGATAAGGCAAATTTTTTACTTCGAACTTTAATAAATTCACCGCAAATAAAACAGAATGAATCAACATCATTTTTACACTGTCTTGATGCCATTTTTTAACTGAGTAATACCCAAATATGGTTGTTACAGCTGTAATAGACAAGTAAACACTCACTACTGTGCCTCTTACAAACGATAATACAGTTTACTTTCGGGTTAATCAAAGTACTGCCGTCTTTCGTTTATGAAATAAATTAAAATATACTTATC